ATGGCCGGCTGGGATTGGCTCCATCTGAGCAAGTATGAATCTTTTCATACTTGCTCAGATGAGGTAGCTGACTACTCAGCTGTTGTTGAGCTGCTACTTAATGGACCCTGTGGTGAGTTTACTTCATCAGCTTCAGTTTCCAAGGTCAAGAATTAAATTAGAATTTTGACACAAATTAGGTAATTAATTTACAATGTAAAGCTCTATGTATTACTGTACAAAACATAGCTCAGACAAGAGCCAGATAAATTAAAAATAATGGAATGAGAAATAACAGCTGTGGGTGTTGGAAAAAAAAAGTATGATTTTTATTCAAGATTCTTTAGTTATAGCCCAGGTTGGGTAAATCACTTCACTTTGGGATGGTTTTAGAGTGGTTTAAAAATGTTTCAACTGTTTACAAGCCAGATATTACAACATAGCTCACATGAAACTGATTAAAAAATAGCTAGGAAACCAAATGAAGTCAGTGATTTACCATTTGAATTTATTTTTAAAAAACCAGCACATGTAAACATACTCAATCTCAGACACAAACATTCAAACTCACACAAAATGTGTACATAGCCATCATTACTTGTCCTTCTCTTTCTGTTCTTTCTCTTTCTTGTGTTTCTCTGCTTTGGCCTCTTCTGCCTCGTGCTTCTTGATCAGCTCCTCCACCTCCTTCAGCTTCAGCACCTTGATGCAGGTCTTGCCATTCTCGCGGGTCAATGTTGCGATTTCCACTGAAAACAACACGCAGACTGTTATGAATGTGATGCCATTAAGATCTGAAACCTTAAAAATTAAACTGATATTTTAAAGGGGAAGATGATGTACTAAGTAATTATGTACAGTTGTTTCTGTTTACACCTTGTTACATACAGTACACGCTGCGAGTGAGATGATGCATCATCAGCTGGAGGTGAATGTTGCAAAACACCATGTTGTGGTTTGAAGACATACACAGACTCTTCCTTGAGAAGACTCAGACTCACTAAGTCCTGTTTTTTTTGTTGTTTTTTTTAAACACATTTGAAAGGATGTCAACTGCTTACTGATCACTTGACCTGCCATAAAAAACAGGTTGACCAGGTACAAACATTACCTGATGTCACTCACAGTAACGCAGACAATGTTTAGGGTCACAAATGTATCATGTATATTTGAGGCAACCAAATAAAACCACTTATAACAATAGCTCACTACTCATGCTACTGAGACACAGACTAGCTAATGCTAATGTATGTGATTAAGTTTCCCATCATTTGTCCATAAAGAATAGAAATATTTTGTTCTGAAGAGAAATTGCACATTGGCATATGTAAATCTGACTTGCTGACATACAGTGTAAGATGCTTTACAGAGTAGATACTAATAGATAAAGACAGCCTACAATAAAGAGCTCTATTTGTTTATAGTAAATACATTAAAGTGCTTTATCTGATCAACATGGGCGCCTTTAAAATAACATTAACAAAAGTTTTTGTTTTACAGATCAGTGGAAACTGCTGACATTTTGCAAAGATGTTGATATCCATGAAGAGTCATGTCTCTGTCTACCAGTTGAATGTAAGTCCAATATTCACTCTCGTTTAGTTCACTTTTTGGACTCTACTGACTATTTCTTGAGGGAAATGGCTGCTATTTACCTGCTAAATGCTCCACTGTGTTACAACTGTTAGTGTTACTTTGTTGTCAGGTCTTTTAGAAAAAGAAATCTTTCTCTCAGTGGGACTGCCATAACAAAATTATCTGAATATATGTTTATTTAAATCATTGATCTGATTTTTGAGAATACCAATATCTGTACATCTCTTTTGTAACTACTGGACTCAGCACCTTTCTCTGCAGACAGCTTGCTGACATCCATGGTTTTATTGAGAACTTTAATGGCAAGGGCAAGTGCTGAGGAAAGGGTCATCTCTCCCTCCTTGTAGTCCTGCTTCAGCATAGAGACAGCTGCCTAGGAGCAGAATAAACAGACAAGAGAGAGAAAATAACAATCACACTAATCCAAACTCCCAAAACACCATCTGTGCTGTCAGTGCTGCAGAGTTTACATAGGAAGACCTCAGTTCATCCTCCGTGTGGACTTCGCTCTGCTTGCCGGATCTCATACCTGCTCCTGTGCAGCTCACTGTGTGGAGCACAACACTAACGTGTCAGGATCAGGTGTGCCTTTACTCACCAGAGACCCCAATGCTAAACATGCATGTGTTCATGTTACTGTAAGGCCTCTTGAATTTAGGTGTACTCACAATGCACTGAGGAGGCTCTGTTACCCACAGTGCATTGTGTGTGGCTCTGTTGAGACTTGCTGGTATTAGCAGAAACCACCATGAATCAGGACATACAATTGGCTGCCCCATGAGTCAGCCGTAAGTAGGCCACAGCAGGTCTGTGTATTGTGTCCAATCTTTATCATGGCGTTGAGTTTAGAAACTCTGTGCGGCTGCACCCTCTAGTGTCACTCCCTGGAATATTAGTGTCATTCTTGTCTGAACACATCTACAGTGAGGAACAGAAGTATTTGAACACCCTGCGATTTTGCAAGTTCTCCCACTCAGAAATCATGGAGGGGTCTGACATTCACATTGTAGGTTCATTCCCACTCTGAGAGACAGAATTAAAAAAAAAAAAAA